GATATCGCACGTGCGCGAGCATCCCGAAATCTCGGCTCCGCGGTTTCCCCCTACGCCGACCACGAAAACGGAGCATTGTCGCATCGCGTCGGTTTATTAGATTTTAACCCGTGAAGGTTCTCCGAATAATTTAGAATTAGCGATACCTGTATTGTTCGGTTCGAAAATTTATAATAAAGTTGTGAATTTTATTATTAATCCGTATAATGCGTATGGTCATTGCATCGCATCGTTCATCTCTCCATGTTTATCACGCGTACTCTCAACACCAGAACCGCCGAGCAATCACGACAGCTCACGTCAAACCTTCCACGAAAAATACGAAGATACTTCTTTCTAAATCGGGAACTATCCTAAACAAAACCATTAAATTCACGAACACCTACGAACTTCTCCGAACAGACTATCCAAACTCTTTCGAAACTCCAGTTCTAATTTGGAAATCACATTCCACGGAAATACTATCGAAACGAATTCGACTTTTAACCCTACACAACAGTCCCTTATATTTTCTCCGAAAGATCTGAAACCGATCATTTTGACCTAGTAGTCGTTAACCCTAGTACCAATTGATTTATACCCGTACCGCGATGTGACTCTCGATCACTTATGAGAGTAAAAGCAACATTTTAGCCCATTGCACTCCGAAGTTTTTCACTGGAAATATTTCAACATTTTCTGACGAGATGAAGACGATATTTTAAAACCAACTTGACGAGTTCACGAGAATTGACGGACAAATCTGTTTCACGTGAATATTTCTCAGATTGATGCATTGTATGAAGTGTAATATTAAATATAAAACTTTATAGCTTCACTGTAGGAAATCGTGTGGCGACTGAGAGTCACCTCCCGAGTGCAAAGGGTTAAAATGTTGTTTTTGTTTATAGAGCCCAAATTTTGAACGCCCCAAAAAAACTGTTGGAAATGCAGTATGAAGTCAAAAAATTTAAGTAAACTGTTCAAACGTGACTCAAAGTCACATCGTGGTTCGATTACGGTTGAAGACGGACCTACCGGAAACGCGAGGGCACCGGAAGAACCCTTTGCGGTCCCAAGTGCTCTTGGTTTCTCACTTTGAGGTTCACGTCGACGTTAGTTTATTCAATTACAGCTTAATATGACGCTCTATTTATTTATTCAACAATATTTGGAAGTCATTACAATGTTACCTTTAAATGGTACAATTGTGATACTACAAATATAAAAAAAATTGTTAACCCTTTGCAGACGAAGATTCTCTGAAATATACAAGACCCTCAACAGATGAAGCTAAATTACACATCAATTACTTTACCAACAGAAAAGTAGTAAACTACGTGCCGATCTCTTTCTATTCGAGCAATTAAATCATTTATCAACGACTCAGTCTTCCAAATACGAAAATTCCGTCTCGTCGAAATGTCGGCATTCGTCCGCAAAGGGTTAAAACAGGTAGAGGTCGCAATAAAATAGAACGTCGAGTCCGACTGGACATAGGACAGCTAAGGGTTAAGGTACCCTGTGCGACGAGCGATCGGTTTTCGACGGTGCCCACGAAAATCCGAAGGAGATCGACAGTCTTGTAAGATCGAGGCAAGTGGGAAACAACGTAACGTAACGTAACGTAACCGTATCGTAATGGTGGATAAGGTGGCACGTGAAACAAGAAACGTTGCGTCGAGCAGACGACCCGGTCAGTCCGAGACCGAGAGTCAGGCGTTAGCGATACTCGATCGCGAGCCACGGCAAGGTGTAACGCGGGACGAGCAGCAACACGCCGTTGCTGGTGACGGTGACAGTGGCAGTGATAGTGACAGTAACAATTCCAGTAACGCCGAACAGTAACAGTAACAGTAACAGTAACAGTAACAGGAGAGGCGGTAACAGCGGCACTAACAGCGACAGTGACGGTTGCAAACGTTGCAGCTCGCACGCACGCACGCAAGCACGCACGAATGCCGAAGCTCGAATTACGTCCGACTCGTATCGATTGCGCGTATTCATTCATTCTTTCCCCGTTTGCCAGGAATATTATATCATATCGCACGGCGCGTTGCATTCCGAGCGTGACGTCGCGTTAAACGGATAGTTCCGCGAGACGCAACGGCCGTGAACTCGGCAGATCGGAATCGCAGCCGGAAATCGGTTGGAACTCGTCCGAAAAAAGAACAGGAGGAAAATTATAGCCGCGAGCCTCTATCGCCGCGAGGAGATTAGCCGGGAACAAAGAACAGTTGGATTCCTGTTGCATTTTCTTACAGCAAAGAAACTACAGTGGGCGCAATTATGCCGTAGCCCTGTTAATCAGCGTGCATCAAAATTAGCCCAGTTATAGTACAACGACCGTTCTCTGCCGGTAACATTTCTGCGAAACAAACAACGCTGTTTACAGGAGAGCCCGAAGGTATTCTTTTCGCCGATTTCCCGATCGTCTCGCCGTCCGACGATCGGTTCGTTATCGTTTCGACGTTCGTTACGTCGATGGCCCGGTTTATCTACGGTGCTAGCGTACGATATTACGCGTTGCCCGACAGAGGATTCTCGGTCGCCTCGTCGCGGCCTGTACGTGGCTCGACGGAAAATAGAGGCGATAGATCCAACCGCGAGCAGAATCGCCGATTTTTACGCGTACTCGGATTTTCTGCAAGTTAATATTTCCTCGTGACGCAAAAACAAGTTGTACTCGCGACTGGTTTTTGAAGTCGAATCCCGTATCGGTACTCGAGCTTGTTCGGGTCTTACGGTATTCGGGCCGGCAGCCCCAACACCATCGATTTCAAAGCTCTATCTGTTACGAGGCACCTTTTAAGGAGCATCATTTTCAGATGTCCTATCGGAAATTCTCTTTACCGTTAATAGTTTTTTAAACCCGCGAACAGGGAGGCGAATCTGCGGATCGTCTGCGCGCCGCCGTGTCGCTGAATCGTTTATCACCGAACCGATGCTTCGAGGCCCCATCTTTCCGGAGTCACCGCGCGAACATCTTTTGAGGAGGTTCGCGAGTTACCTTCGATCCGTTGTTGGAGACTCTCGATCGAACGCGACGATGTTTAACGTATCGCGTACCGGTAACGAGAAATCTCGTTTTTATGTAGACACTTAGCTATGCGACTTCGCTGATTAACGCAGTATTGAAGAAATATAAAATTTAATTCGAATTGACTATTTGAAATATATTACGTAACAATATATCCGAGTTTTTCTATGTATAGTGATGTAAGTTGATCTTAGTGAAAATTGCCGTAACAGTTCAGTTTCCTGAAAATTAGCCGGTACGCAACGTATTAATTATCAAAGTACATACAGATCTATCGTAGTTCATTGTATTGTTCCCGGAAAGATTGATGTTCACCGTTTATCTAGAAAATCGGATGTTGAAAAATATTAGGAACCATAATCGCGTAATTGAATCAATCGAAATCGACTGAAAAAATTTACCAAATGATGTTTATAAAATTCGATAAGAAATTGGCTCGTCCCGTGGAACTAGTATTAAAACAAATATCATTAGGAACCATAATCGCCTAATTGAATCAATCGAAATCGACTCGTTTACCAAATGATGTTTATAAAATTCGATAAGAAATTGGCTCGTCCCATAAAACTAGATTTAATTGCTAATCCTACGTAACATTTTAGATACGTGTAGCACAAATCGAAAGTAAAATTTACAAATTCGAATTCCTCGTTCTCCTCCGTAAGTCAGAAACGTTGGTTTAATCGACGTTTAAAAATGTACCAATATAATCACCGACGCTCGCGTTTTTATTATCTGAAATTTATCCGGCGTCCGATGTGTTAAAGCAAAAGTATTCGCACGAGTAAACGGAGAGAAAAGTGGTGCGAGCGTCGAAATGGAAATAGAAAACGAGGGACAGGG